CGTGCATACATGAGCATGGTGACCATACCTTCTTGTAGAAGTTCATTAAATCTATCTATGTTTTAAATCCCATCCCGTTTAGTTGAAAACCAAGGGAGTTAAAACTGTTTAAAGTTTCAGCCAATCAGATTGCAGCGCACGTACAGGCACATGTATGCATGTGCATGGTGACCATACCTTTTTGTAGATGTCCATTATATATATCTATGTTCCCAATCCCATCCTGTTTGGTTGAAAACCAAGGAAGTTATAACTGTTTAAAGTTTCAGCCAATCAGATTGCAGCTCACGAACACGCACGTGTATGCATGTGCATGGTGACCATACCTTTTTGTAGAAGTCCATCTTATATATCTATGTTCCAAATCCCATCCTGTTTGGTTGAAAACCAAGGGAGTTATAGCTTTTTAAATTTTCAGCCAATCAGATTGCAGCGCACGTGCATGCACGTGTTTTCATGATAATTTCTATATATCATGTTGTAGGATATCCTAATGCATGGCTTTGTTCAAAATTTCAAAGGATTTCCTCAAAAAACAAGAAAGATATTGAGACTTTAGTTTCAGCCAATCAGAGCAAAGCGCACGTGCATGCGCGTGAGATCTTGCTATTTTGACCATGTCGTATTGTCTATATTACTAATATATCCTTACATTATGAGTTTCAAAGCATTTCATCAAAAATTAAAAAAGTTACGCCTATATCAATTAAATCGGTCATTTTACATGTTGCACGTGCGTGCTTTTGCAAGCACGTGCGCGCAAAATGACCTTCGTTCGGCACATCTACACAACATGCCTACTAACCCTAAAAAGGTTTTAACTTAGTTTGGTGAACAGTTTCTGAGAACACTTTTTTCCACAAAAAAGTACCGGAGAAGAAATAAGAAGAAAAAAGAATAATAACTAGATGCGTTCTTGTTGCTAAAGCAACAAGCAGTCTTCCGACCGACTTTTCGTTAGAGATCTATACGGTGTGATCCCATGAAATAGATTTCAGAATGTATTTTTTTCCTTTACGTTCATTTACAGCAGTCTCTGAGCATATATCATGATTATTACAGATAAACCTTAAAATATCTTTAAATATAGCTTTTAAAAATCGGCAAAATATTTCACACATGTTATAAAAATGAGAAAAGTCATTTACAATTGAAATATGATACAAACAAAGAAAAAATTTGGGAACGCCCACGGCGGGATTCGAACCCCCGACAGTGGGACAAAGTTTGGTTCGGTCATATCTTTTCAATAAATGCACGCATCAAGATTCTGAACACATATTTAGAATTCTCATAAAACAAACTATAAACCCTGTAAATCCTAGAGAAAAATATTGAAAAACAAAAAAGTTGAAAAATGGGACTTTTTGAATTCACTTCCGTTTGCGACCGGAAGTGCCGATGACAAAAAATAAAGGTCGTATCCCATAATGGAGTTCGATGTTCTATCACCTCAGTGAGTTTCACTTTCATATCTTTACCCGTTCTCGAGAAAACTGCTGGACAAAATGCCTTTTAAAAAAAACAAAAATCCCCAAAAATCGCGAACGAAAGTGGATTTTGAAAAAATGAAAAACACGTCTGGAGATATTTTCATGATGCATCATTCCTGTGAAAATCTTTCAAATCCGTCCACGCACAGCTGAGATATCGCCCTAACTATGAAAAAAAGAAAAATAATAATAAAAAACAGACGAATAACAGTAAGGTGTTCCGATGGCAGTCGGAAGACCTTAATAAAAAACAGACGAATAACAGTAAGGTCTTCCGATGGAAGTCGGAAAACCTTAATAATAATAATAAAACACAGAAGGAAAACAATAAGGTCTTCCGAAGGAAGTCGAAAGACCTTAATAATAAAAAACAGACGAATAACAATAAGGTCTTCCGAAGGAAGTCGGAAGACCTTAATAATAATAATAATAACTAGTGCTAATTGTAACGGGGACCGTTACAGATGTTCCCCAAACGCTCCCCATGTCCCTTTTCGTGCCTTATTCCTCCAAGACTTTTTTTTATAAATATGCTAAGTATCTACGGACTCATTTAAGAATAAAAAGTTACAATGATATCAACTATATATAGTTTTACGTTTTGCATGCGCGCACACGTACATGTACATACATATGCAAGATGATTATTGCATGTTGGTTAAGCGATTAACATATCTTTCTATCCCACGGATCAAAGAAAAAAAAATACATATATAAAGTTACCATTTTTCAAGCATATGTCTTTTTTTAATATATCGATTCAAATCTTATTTCTCTACTTATTTTAACTTCGGGCTGAAAGTTGGTTTTATTCCTACGACAAGGCAGAGTTAAAGTCGACTAAGGGTATCACGCCAATAGCTAACCAATCAAAATGAACTTATTCAATAGTAGTTCCATACGTGGAAAAGGGATTTTTCCTTTCTGTTCAGAATTTTTTTTTATATTTCCTCTCAGGCCATTTTGACAACTCTGATACCTGTGCCTAGTAAATTTTATATACTTTGTAAATAAATATATAAAGGTTTTTGACCGGAACTATTTATTTTTTCGAATGCATAGGGGGCTACTTTCTGGGGTTTACAAGAGATGTTTAAAAAGACATTCGTGTCAGCTAATGTGACCAATATTGTTTAACACCTTCTTATTAATATTTTTTACATGAATGCAAATACCTGATTATTTTACGAAGGAGCGTACATGTATATTGATTTTTAATATACCGAAAATCGCTATTTCTGGGGATTGCGTAATTCTAAAAAAAAAATTCAAATAAATTTCAAAGGTAAAATAAACAAAGGATGCTTGGTATTAAAATATTATTTCAAATCAGTAGAATTGAATGCTATTAACGACATCTGAATAAATAGGCTATAAAAGGCTTATATACCAACTTTGTTCATTTGCACTTTAATTTTTAACACGACAGGATTTGTAATTTTTTCCGTATAAATTAATAATTTCTATATACTTTGGAAACTCAAATAAAATATTTTAATACATTTTTCTCGAGCTCTTTTCTGCAGTTTTCCTGAAATTTTATGTGGGTCCGAGGTGTAATTTGAGTTTAACAGTGATTCTCTACGTTGCCATTAATTTGATTTGTTTGGTTGTTGCGGGGGGAGGGGGGGGGGTATTTTTATTCTTGACCTATTTAACATTGGAGTTGAATCTTGTATCTTACTCAAAGAACTTAATATTGATTGTGACATTTGGATGAAAGGTCAAGGTTATTAAAAAACCATCACCTCTTTAACTTCTATCCTGCCAACCGAAATAAACTCTGAAAGGTGTTTCTAGATACATGTACATGTACTTCATGTTTCTTTTTACCCTTTGGTCAAGGACAAAGGTTAAGGTCGATTTCAAGTTCATAGGTCAAGGTGATTTTGGTAAATAGCTAATATCAACATTTTATTCAGGTTACCAGTGACCTTGACCTCAGTTTCAAGGTCAAGGGTCAAAAGATCTGCATGCTTCAGTATGTTACATGTCTTGACATTTAGAAGTTCTTAATTCTGCATAAACATCAAAAATTCACGTATACTGTCGTTTAATGCATTGTGTGCGGGCGCATGTGAATGCACGTCCTTGCATTTACTTCAGATAGTAGTATACTGGTAATGTAGGCATTCATTATATCTATTCATATTCGAAATTTCACCCTGTATTATTGAGAACCAAGAAAGTTGTAGGCATTTAAAGTTTTAGCCAATGAGATTGCAGCACACGTGCATGTGCGTGCGTTCATGATTATTTTTATATATCATGCTGTAGATCTTCATAATGTATGACTATGTTCAAAATTTGAAAGGATTTTGTCAAAAAACAAAAAAGATATTTAGACTTTTAGTTTCAGCCAATCGGAGCGAAGCGCACGTGCATGCGCGTGAGATCTTGCTATTTTGACCATATCATCATGTCTATACTACTAATATATCCTTATATTATGAGTTTCAACGCATTTCATTCAAAATTTTAAAAGTTACGGTTATATCTATCATATTGGTCATTTCACGTGTTACACGTGTGCGCACCTGCACGCACGTGCGCGCAAACTGACCTTCGTTCCGCACATCTACATAACATACCTAGTGACCCTAAAAAGGTTTCACCTAGATCGGATGAGTAGTTTACGAGAACACTCGCGGACAAAAAAGTACCGGAGAACAAAGAAAAAATTCAGAAAAAGTAAAAACAATATGTTCCCAAACTTCGTTTGGGGAACATAATAATAAGAAACAGAGTAAAAACAATATGTTCCCCAACTTCGTTTGGGGAACATAATAAGAAACAGAGTAAAAACAATATGTTCCCAAACTCCGTTTGGGGAACATAATTAACAGAAAAGAGTTTACAATGTAGTACCGTATATCAAGTTTTTTATTCCGCGTGTATCCAATTTCCGCTTTGTTCGCGACAAGTTCTCGCGGAAAACAAAACAGCGTAAATCTTATACAAAGTTATCTCTCTATGCTTATATAATAGAGGGTAAAAACAAGCGCCTGATATCAGGTATAAGCCCTATTGTTTGTTTACTTATCGACAAACTTATTATATTTGTCTCTTTCCTTGCTTTATAATCTTTTATTATTACAATTTCATCTGAGCAGCAAGTCATTATGGAACAGAACAGGCACTATGATTGTTTAAATATTTAAAAATAATATCAGGGGATTAAATGAGAGTCGGTACGATACACAGGCGTTGTAATCAGCTTAGCAGGTCTTTCGAAATTGACGAGATGAAGGCCGATTGATAAATTTTTCACCCTCATGAAGTAACTTGGAACTAAATGACTTACATTTTACATTCAATTTCCCACATATGCTGAAACAATTGTTAATAACACCAGTTATCTCGGTGAAAAAGTTTTTCCCTTTTTTGTTCGAGCAAATTCAATTTTTTGGATGCAAAATAAATTTAATAGAATAACAAGCATGCATAGAAACAGACATAATGAATTTTAAAATATTTAAGAGATATTATGCCTCTTTTAGGACTTACCATGGAGAAATATAATGAAGGAAGTGCCAAGAGAAATTAGGACTACAGGGAACGTCATAGTTACTGTAAAACACTTCGTGGTAACTTCGTATACAATGAACCAGTCACCCGCAAAGTTACTTCCTTGTACAGCTCAATGTGAGAAATACAGCTTTCACCTTTAAGTTTATTTGAATACTTTAATCGGACTCTATTTAAACTTCGTTTTTTTTGGCTTCATATCAGAATAAACATGGCAAAGTCCAGTCTTGTCTAGAGTTACGAATCCGGAATTATAACGTCATGTTTCTGTATAAATTTTATACTTCTGAAAAAGTAAATAGATTAAGGATTTGGAAGTTTTATCCCGAAGCAACTGTTTCAAAAGATATGAAGGGGGCATCTTTGCCCCCCACCCCCAAATAAAAAAATATTTTTAAAATATATAAAACATTAGCATTTTGCCCATTCTCGGTCGCAAAAAAGTATAAGAATGAAGCATCTAAAGGAAAATGTGATATAGCAAAATCCTCTACTCAGAAAAAATGGAGGTCCGGTTCTCCTTCCTCCTCCCGCGTTCTACTGCTGCCATTACTTCGTTTTTCTGAATAAAAATGCATGGATAAATCAATAAAAACAGTCTTTTAAAAATTTACAAAAGACTGCACAATAATGATGGTTTGATAATTCTGATTTGTTACTCTCGATCAAATTAATACTTGAGTTGTACAGTTATCATGTGATTTATATCAATTCAGTTCCCCGTCCAAATCCTCACTTCTAAACCAACCCTTAGGGTATTTATGACTCTAATAAAAAGAGGAAAAAGTAATCAGTTTAGAAGATTATTGACTAACCTTTGATATCCTCGACTGTATAAAAAACCAAGAACAAATAGAAATATTTCTGTCAAACAACAAGTAAAATAAATCAAAAAGGAACAGCTGACATACCATGCTTTCTGCTTTTTGGAAGTCGAAGAGCATCAGACTCTTTTTCAATGATTTGTATGTTTTAAAATTCGCCTGGGTTGGAATCTAAGACGCAACTTTACATAGTATAAATGAAAGTGGTGAGTATAGATTAAAATAATTTTAAAAACATAAAAAATTACCCTTAATTATACATTTTGCTGGATAATGCATTGAAATGGTTCCCTGAGCTTACATACAGTTTAAAGTGGACATCTTAGCATTACCATGGTAGATCGTACAATAGCTAATATTTATTTTACCTTCTTAATGTTTACCACATGTTCTTTTCTTTGCATTGGAATTTTTTTTTCAAAGAATAGATTTGATTATTATGCACATAGCAGAATTTTTGCAGAAACAAACTTTTAATATAGAAAATTATCGTACATTTATTGTCCGGTTGCCCCCTCCCCCTCCCTCCAGACACACACTAACACACATATTTGGGTGTCAATTTTTTTCAGTAAAGTTAAACACTGTGGCTAGGAAAAAGTAGAAATTGGTTTATTATTGAAAAGTTTAAGTCCAAAAGTAGTCCCATGACCAATCATGGCTTTGCTATTCTTGAGAAGAAGATTTTTGAAGAATTTCCCTATATATTACTATGTAAAACTTTGGTCGCCCATTGTGGCCCCACCCTACCCCCCGGGGTCATGATTTGAACAAACTTGAATCTACACTTTCTGAGGATGCTTCCATATAAATATGACCAATTATGGCTTTGCTATTCTTGAGAAGATTTTTTTTTTAAAAATTCCTATATGTTTCTATGTAAAACTATGGTAGACCATTGTGGCCCCGCCCTTCCCCCGGGGTCATGATTTGAACAAACTTGAATCTACACTGAGAATTTCCCCATAAGTTTCATCTTTCCTGGCACAGTGGTTCTTGAGAAGAAGATTTTTAAAACATACCACCAAATTTTCATTATCTCCCCTTGAATAAGGGCGTGGCCCTTCATTTGAACAAACCTTAATCCCATTTACCCAAGGATGCAAGGTAACAAGTTTGGTTGAAATTGGTCCAGCGGTTCTTGAGAAGAAGTTGAAAATGTGAAAAATTTACAGCACCGACGACAACAACGACAAACAACGGACAAATTTTGATGAGAAAAGCTCACTTGTGCCTTCGGCTCAGGTGAGCTAATTATAACAAGAGGCCCAGGGGCCACAGCGCTCACCTGAGCACATCAGCTCGGAAAAAACACATCAGATCAAAACTGAAAGTTTACTGAAGGGGGGGGGGGGGGCTTGAATTTTAACCACCAAGGGGATCATAATTTGAACGAACTAGAATCTACATTACCTGAGGATGATTTCATATAAATATTACTAATCCTGGCTTTGAAGTACTTAAAAAGAAGATTTTAAAAGGTTTCCCTATATATTTCTATGTAAAACTTTGATAGGCCATTTTGGCCCCGCCCTACCCCCGGGGGTCATGACATGAACAAACTTAA